AGAAGGGATATTAGAAGAACCGGCAAGACAGGGCTGGAGGCATGGAACTGGAGGGAGAGTTGCCTTGCCTGTTGAGATACACTTCCCTAAAGAAGACATAGGATAGCTGTTAGAAAAGATGGTCATGGTCCTCCCATTGTTCATCAATTTTGCTCGAGCGGGCCCAGTAACATCTCCATCGTGAGACTTGTTGTTACTGTGTTTGGCATATTGAATATGTCATGGGGGCAAGATATTATGAAGTCGTGAAATTTACGCACAAGTGGTACTACATGGAAAGTATCATGCTAAGCAAAATGAGTCAGAAAGAGAGGGACAGACATAGAAAGATTGTGTTCATCTGGGGAACAGAAAGTAACAAAATAGGAGACTAACACCCAAGAATAGCCGAGATAAGTACCAGGAGGTTCACTCCATGGCTTGGAGGCCAGCCGCACATGCTAGGGGAAAAGGCAACTCAGATAGAGAAGGGAGCACCAAGTAAAGGGTGTTGGGAGGATTCTCCCAGGATGGGAGATGCATGCTGAAAGTAGACTATATAGACCAAACATGATTGCCACTCAATCAATGCCTCTTTTGCAAACCTCAGCAACCAAAAGGAGAGAGAGAAAACAAAAGGGAATGCCCTGCCACAGAGGCAGGGGGGGATGGGGGGATGGGGGGTGGGAGGGATACTGGGATCCGTGGTGGTGGAAAATGGGCACTGGTGGAGGGATGGGTATTTGATCAGTGTATAATTGAAACCCAAGCACAAAAATTTGTAAGTCTACAGCTGTACCTCATGGTGTTCCACTAATAAAAATTAAAAAAAAAAGAGAAGACATAGGAATGGCCAATAGGCATATGAGAAAGTGCTCGTTGTCACTCATATTTACGGAGTTGCAAATCAGAACAACAATGAGACATCATCCCACTTCTGTGAGAATCGTGCCTTTCAAAATGTTTGGAAATAATGTTGGCGGGTTACGGTGAGAAAGGAACCCTCATCCACTGTTGGTGGGAATGTCATCTGGTCCAACTATTTGGGAAGGGCGTGTGGAGAAGGGGGTGTGGGGTACTCCTACTGATCTTCAGGCAACCATCTGTGGTCTAGAGATAAACCTGGGGTCATCCTCAAGGCAAGCAAATGCTTTAACTCTTGTACTATCTTTCTGGCTTTTTTTTTAAATTTATTATCAGCTATTTTGGGCCCGTGAAATGTGGTGGTTTGATACTTAAACACCAATCAGGCAGTCTTTTGTTATGTCTATACCACATGCATTTGCAAGGGGAATTTTGTAGGTTTCGCCGCCGACTTCTTTGCTGGAGTGTTTGTGGTAAATATGTTCTGGAAGCTCTTTCATTCTTGCTTTCCTCAGTATTGTAACACCCTTTCCTCTCTGTATCTCCACACCCCGGTCCTGCAACCCCAGGAAGGCAGATGCTGTGACTCTAGTCCCATCTGAGTAGGTTACTATTTTCAGCACGGCCTGCAGGGTTTTATATTTTGTTTTATTTTATTTTATTTTATTTTTTATTTTTATGATAGCACAGTGGTAGGGCGTTTGCCTTGCACGCAGCCAGCCCGGCCAAGCCGGGTTCGATTCCTCCGCCTCTCTCTCGGAGAGCCTGGCAAGCTACCGAGAGTATTCAATATGCCAAACACAGTAACAAGAAGTCTCACAATGGAGACGTTACTGGGCCCGCTCGAGCAAAATCGATGAACAACGGGAGGACAGTGTAGTAGACAGTGTAGTGAAACCCCATGAGGTACAGTTGTAGACTTACAAATTTTTGTGCTTGGGTTTCAGTTATACAATGATCGAGTACCCATCCCTCCACCAGTGCCCGTTCTCCACCACCACTAATCCCAGTATCCCTCCCACACCCCATCCCTCCCATCCCACCCTGCCTCTGTGGCAGGGCATTCCCTTTTGTTCTCTCTGCAGGTTTGTATGCTGGTGCTGATGAAGACAAGAAGACATTGAAGGCAATGTCTTTCAGCGGCTTCTGCTCAGGTTAGGGGGTGGGGCGGGGTGGGGAGAACTCAGAGGGAAGCGCCACCCGCCTTAGGGTTGAAGGGAGGAGGCAGGAAATGGAAGACCCTCTGATAACCCTCATCCAGAGCCCGATGCTTCACCCCACCCCTCACTCTTACATGCTCAGTCTGGGGGCCAGAGAGATGGGACAGCAGGTAGGGCGTTTGCCTTGCACAGAGTGGACTCGGGTCCTACCTACCCCCACCCCCCAGCACCACCTATGGACCCCCGGATCCCACCAGGAATGATCGATGTCTAGAACCAGGAATAAGCCCTGAGCACCACGGAGTGCGGCCCCCAAGACAAACAAATCAGAAGCAAGCTAAAAGCTGTCTGCTTTCTTTCTTCCTAATGTCTCGCTGCTCTGACAGAGCCTCCAGTCACCTTGCACCTTCCACCAGAAAGCTGAGTCACTCAGGATCCCTTTTTCCCAAAGTGGGTGACACCACTTGGGCACCCCAGAACAATGTCAAACAAAAACAAACACTGTCCTCCCGTTGTTTGTTGATTTGCTCCAGCGGGCCCAGTAACGTCTCCATTTGGGACTTGTTGCTATGTTTGGCATATTGAATGTGTCACGGGTAGCTTGCCAGGCTTTGCTGTGTGGGTGAGATACTCTCGGTTGCTTGCCAGGCTCTCCGAGAGGGGCGGAGGAATCGATCCTGGCTCGGCTGGGCCGGGCTGGCTGAGCGCAAGGCAAATGCCCTGCCGCTGTGCTATAGAACAATGTAGGTAGTCGTAACCGCGTAACTGCAGGTGCAATTTGGGGGCTATTTGGGGGCCGGGGGCTTTTCTATTTGTTTCTCTTAGACCAGGTAAGTTTCTCCAGGGGGCACTGAGTTTTCCTTTTTTTTTTTTTTTTTGCTTTGTTTTCTGAAAAGGGAACAGCAGGCTAAATAAGTCTGGGAACCAGTCCCTGCTTTATTTTAGTTTCCTATATTTCAGTGCTTGCTGACACATGCCAATTCTATGCCATTTATGTAGTAGCACTGTCCTCCGTTGTTCATCAATTTGTTCGAGCGGGTCCAATAACATATCCATTGTGAGACTTGTTACTATGTTTGGTATAGCTGGTTTGGTATAGCTGTGTTTGGTATTACTGTGTTTGGTATAGCTCCATGGGGAGCTTGCCAGGCACTGCGGTGCGGGCAGGATACTCTTGGTAGCCTGCTGGGCTCTCTGAGAGGGGCGGAGGAATCGAATTCGGGTCAGCAGCCTTGTGCAAGGCAAGGCAAACGCCCTACCCGCTGTGCTATTGCTCCATTTAAAAAAAAAAAAAAGCCTGGAAGAAAAGCGGCTCCCCCATTCCTTTCAGCTTTCCTCCCTGGCTCCCTTTTCCACTGTTTCACTCTTCCCATCAGTGCCATCCCAGGAACGGCGGCTCCCCACACCCCCCGCTGAGGGGTCCCTCCTCTAGGGACAGGTGCACTGGCAAAGCTGGCATCCTCCTCCCTGTCTGCTGTTCCTAAGGGTGTGCTGTGACAAAGCTGATGGACTGTGGATGGTTTGTGGTACTGGGTCGGAATCCTCAGCAGAGAATGTTCCTCTTTTTTGCCTAGTTTGGGGCAATTGTTTCTACCCTTCTTCTCCTGAGTAAGACTCAGAAGAGATCATGGAATATTTCGGGGAGCTGCAGAGAGTGTTGGTTGGGGGTGGGAGGGAGGGGAGAATGCTGGTCTCGGGGACCTGGCCTCAACTTCCCCATGAGCTGAACACTTAGTTAAGGCCAACAGAGGCGGGTAGCGCATCCCATCGCTCCTTGCCCCCTGGCTGATTCCTGTTCAGGAAAAATAAAGCCCTTGGCGCTTGGCCTCAGCACTGAGTGCCACCCTCCCGAAGCCCATCTTCTGTCCCTCTCCAGCCCCTGCTGCCAGGATGCTGGGCCCCGCACTCCTGGCTCTTCGGATTTCCCAGGGAAGTCCCTGCTCACCACATTCACCAGCTCTCTGAATCCTTCTGCCAAGGGGTGGGATGCAAAGACTCCTCCCTCCGTGCCTGGTCTCGCCCTCTCTGCCACCCTCCTATGGTCCTTGCATTGGCCCCAGGAAGGGAGCTGCTCCAGGCACGCCTCTTTGCCACCGACTTTGTGCGCAGCCACGGCAGTTGTGGGTAGCCCTTGATGCTGTGTGTGAGAGTGGAGGCTGGCTTGTTTCATTCATTCATCCATCCATCCATTCATTCATTCATCCATTCATCCATAGGGCCAAATGAATGGATGAGCCGTAACGGTCAAAGTGTTAGTCACAGTGTCATTTGCTGTGACCTGATCCGGGACTCTCCTTACACCTTAACTAGAGTACAGCCCCTCCCCCCAAACCCCACCGCCACCCCCCACCCCCACCAGCCCACCTTCTGACCTTCTAAGGAATTGGACTCAGTCACTCATCAAGGCAAAAGATCTTGCCAACAACAACAACAAAAAAGGAGAGTCGCGATTCTTCGCAGCCCCGCCACCCACCCGGTACCCGGCGAGGGCGCTGCGCCCGGCCGGGAGCTCGGCGGGCGCGGCTGGGCTGACCCGGGGAGCGTCCCCGGCGGCAGGAGGGTCGGGGCGCGCGCCTGCCCATAAACATGGCGGCGCCCAGGGCGGCTTCGCCCGCCGAGCCCCATGGGCCGCCTTGCCAGTACTCGGGCACTTCCTCCGCCCGCCGCTTCCTGCAGCCCGAGCATTTAAGCCCGCACCCGCGGCCGCAGCAGCAGCAGCAGCAGCAGCGCGCGGTGCACACGCGGGGCATCGGCTCCGGGTCCAGCCTCCCGGGCGGTGGCGCCCATCCCCGGCGGCCTCCGTTTCACGAGCCGGGACTCCCGATCGCGACCCCGCGACGTGGGGAGGGGGGGCGGCCCACGCCGCGGCAGGTGTGACTGTGGGGATTGCGACCCCCCACCCCCAACGCGCCGAGCCGGGGAGCTGCTGGAGGAGACCCGGGGGTCCGGGTGGGGACCCCAGGAGCGCGCCTTCCCCCCGACCCCCACTACCACCACCACCACCGCCGCCGCCGCCGCGGGATCCCCGGGCCGGGATGCGGCCGCGCCCCGCGCGCGCGTGAAGCGGCGCCCGACGCGCGGGGCCCCGGCCCCCCTGGGCGGCGGCGATGTTCAGCTGGCTGGGCTCCGACGACCGCCGCAGGAAGGACCCCGAGGTCTTCCAGACGGTGAGCGACGGGCTCCGAAAGCTCTACAAGACCAAGCTGCTGCCCCTGGAGGAGCATTACCGCTTCCACGAGTTCCACTCGCCCGCGCTGGAGGATGCGGATTTCGACAACAAGCCCATGGTCCTGCTGGTGGGCCAGTACAGCACCGGGAAGACCACCTTCATCAGGTGAGCCGGCCCTGCGCACCCCCCCTCCCCTGGGCGCACTCCCCCCCCCCCTCTCTTCCCCTTGGCTTCGCCTGCAGCACTGGTGAGAGCTGGGTCGGTGCATGGGGGTCCCCCGACCCGTTCCCCTCCTGCGCCCTTCTCTCTTTGCCTTTGGTGCTCACTTGGGAGGCTCAACTTCAGGGTCGGGGCGGTGCAACTGAGACCCTCGCCAGCGTCAAAGCTGCTTAGTGGCCAGGGGAGCTCCTGCGGCTGATTTTAGGGACACACCCTTGGGTGCTCCGACCTCTTCCCTTGCCTGGAAAGTGCCCAGCCACTCCCTTTGGGGGAGAGGGGCTGCGGACCGGGTGGCCCCAAGCCCCTTCTCTGTTACCCCCTTGTGGGCAGACCCCCCCCTCTGGTAGTCCTTGGAGACTGGCTAGAAAAGCCTTATCTGGAAGCAGGCAGCTCCCTTCTTTTTCCCTTGTTTTTTTTTTTTGGGGGGGGGGGGGTTGTTCATTTTGTTTTGTGAGATTAAAGGCTCAGTGTCCTTTAGCGGTGGCCAGCACTGGTGATTTCCTCCTCTAGTCCCTTAGCGTGGCAGGTGCCATAGCCGAGACAGTTTAAATGGATGTCTCGAAGCCTTGTAAGTAACTGGGTGGAGGCCGGCCGGGATGCAGGACCGTGATGCTTGGCCAGAGAGGCTTGGCCACATGCCTGTGACTTGGAGTGTGAGTCATCGTTCCCTTAATGACAGAAGCCTTGGGCTGGAGGAAGGCTCGGGATGTCAGCTTGTCTCTCAGGCATGGAGAGAGGTGAACGGACGGTACCCCGGTGCGAGGAGATGCCTTCTCCCCCAAATCTCAGCCTTCCTTTTTAGATCCTTTGACCTTGGTGGTTGCCCGGGGCCTCTGTGTGGAGTCAAAGGGGGCTGCAGCCCCTCTGCCCACCAACCTCCTCTCTCTCCCCTGCTCAGCTCCTGCGGGAAGTTTCAGCCTTTCTCCTGGCCCCTCACTGAGCAGACCACAGACCCCGGGTGATGGGAGAGGGGCGGAGTGGGGCTGGTGACTGAAGGTCTAGGTGTACATCTGGTGTCCGGGAGCCGCCAGCCCCAACCTTCTGTGGGCACCGGGCTGCCCTGTCGTGTCAGGACAGGAGCTCTCCCTTGTCCTTGTGGGTGAAGAGTCTCCGCTCAGCAGTTTTGAGACTGCAGGATTTCTGAAGGGAGGGGAGGTAGGCCTGTTGACTCAGGCTCCGATTGCCAGATCGTCGTATTGTCAGGACTGCAGGGCCCCTTGGCGCCGCTTCTAGCTTAACTGCTTCTTAACTTAACCCTTCCCTGTAAAAAAGAAAGAAAAAAAATGCCTATTCATCCCACATTGGCTTATTATCTTGGAGTCCCAGAGTTTCCTTGGGCGTCTGGGCGAAAGTTCTGAGCTAATCCATCTCCCTTGTTTTATTGAACTCGTGTTGCCGGCGAAGGACTTCTAACCCACCTGGCGTCGGAAAGGGGCTTCTTTGGGAAGGCGGTAATCTCCCAACCTGGGCACGAGCGAACCCCACACATCCCGCGGCACCTCTTGGAGAGTGTTCTTTGGAGCGGAGAGGCTTAGCTCCCTGGCGACCCCCTTCCTGGCTCTCAGCCCAGGAGGGTCTCTGAGGGGCCCGAGAACAAGTGCCCAAGCAGGCAGGTTCAAACGCCTCCCGGCAGAGACGCTGGCCTGTGTGTCCTGGGAGTTAACAGGATCTAAAACAGAGGCAGAGCCTTGCTGCCCCAGATTATTCCTTATCAGCAGGCGGCAGGAAGTCAGGGAGAAACAGATCCCTGCGCTCTCTCATCCTCCAAGTACAAGCCACCTCCTCTGAACGGGAGGCACCCAGCAGGGCAGAGGGGGTGAGGGGAGGCCCCAGGAACCCTGAACACAAAATGACACATTTTCATGATTCCTCACGAACTCCGTCTGAGTTCCCCCTCTGCAACCACCAGCCATCATATTTTTTTTTTCTAATTTGGAAAATGCAAACAAGAATCAATTTAAAGAAGAAAATAGAAGTCCCTGCCCCATGCCCTCAGCTCATGAGACACCATCCCAGGTATCATAGATATTTATCTTCCCGGTGCTTTTGGATCATGGATAACACCGCAGCTGCGCCCATGCCCAGCGTACCTTGTGTGCTAAGGCAGTTTAACTAACAGCCCGAGTTAGTTACTCTCAAGACCTTTGTCAGCCTCAGTCCTGAGAGCCGTGAACAACCGCCCATGCTGTTACTCATCCCAGCCCATGGAACGTCTTAGGTTGTTGATATTTTTCTTTAACTTTTGTTTTGTGCCCATGAGTAGCCCTCGGAACATCTCTGTCCCAATTTCCCTACATGCTGTCCTGTTCTCGCAGATTCCCAGAAATGCACACGCGAAGCCAAAGGTTACCAGAGCGGGGTTCGATTTGTTTTTCATTTTTTAACTTTTTTTATTCTTGGTGTTGAATTTCTCTCTCTCTCTCCAAATATTTTTTTCTTTTTGGGCACACCCAGCGATACACAGGGCTTACTTCTGTTTCTGCACTCAGGAATTACCGGTGGCGGTGCTCAGGGGACTATATGGGATGCTGGGAATCGAACCCGGGTCAGCCGCGTGCAAGGCAAATGCCCTACCTGCTGTGCTATTGCTTCAGTCCTTCTCTCTCTCTCTCTCTCTCTCTCTCTCTCTCTCTTTTTTCTTCTTTTATTTTGTTTTTGAACTGTAAGGCATTCTCAGGGCTTGCTCTTGACTCTGTGCTCAGGAATCATTCTTTGTTTAGGGGACCATGTCGGGTACTTGGGATCAAACTCTCTTGACTGTCAGGTGTCCTACCTCTGTACCGTCTCTCTGGCCCGAAGGTTGCCTTTCAGAAGAGCTTTCACTAAATTAGGCTATGTAGCCTCCTGTCTGGGGGGGACCTGGGGTCTGCCCTTTAGGAAGTGCTGGGGGCTGTCCGCCCCCCCCATCCCTGCTTCCTGCCCTGAGGCGAATCCTCTCCCACTCCTGAGCCTGCCGAATGCTTTCCCTCGGGGAGCAGAGACTGACCCCTTCATTCCACAGCCCTTGGCTTTCTGCCTCCTCAGTCTCTGCGTTCTCCCAGGCCATGGACGGGTTTCAGGAAGAACACGCAGCAAAGGACATTCTTCTCATCACGAATTAATGCGCTATGATCTCTGCCTGAAATAACTTCCCTGGCCTGGAGCCCAGCAGCCCTGAATAATAAAATAAACTGAGTGGGCCGGTGGCTGCCCCCCGACATGGCCGTCCTCGGATGAGGACAGCGGCCCTGTATCCTTCAGGCCTGGCACGGTCCCCTCCTGGCCTGGCTGACGGAGGCCGGGTGCCCGCAGGTGGGAGAGGAGCCCCTCTGGGCCATGAGGCAGAGGAGGGTTTGGGTGGGGGCTGGGGCGGCCACAGCTTAGCTACCCCTTGTGTCTTCTTCGTGTCTTCTCCGGAGGCTCCAGACAGACTCTGGGCCTGCAGCTGGACTCTGACATGGGAGTGTGTGGTGAGGTTGGCGGGGTGTGTGGCACTCCCAACCACCTTTTCTACGTCCTGGCTTCTTCCTCCTCCCTGGTGGCGACACAGCATTTGCCTGTGGCTTCACCTGCTGCCACGCTGGGCAATCCACTGTCCACGCCTCATCCCAGCATGCCCCCGGGGCCTCCCCACTCAAGAAGGGGTTCCCGGGAACCCCTTCCAGTGGCCAGAGCAGTATTTCTCGGGGTGGGAGTGTGGTGAGGGGGGTAACCCTTGTATACCACTCACAAGGGGTGCAGGGTGTATGGGGAGGGTCAGGTGAGCGCATGGCCACCAGACTCCTTTGCCTCTGGGCTCAGCGTCCCAGTCTCGGCTGTAAGATCTCTCATCTGTTCCTCCGTCGGTGGCTGTAGGGTACCCCAGGGCCTCCTGAAATCCATGTGTGACCAGCAGGGTGAGTGCGGTCGTGTGAACCCAGTTAGACCCCAGGCTCAGAAAGACAATGATGCCTTGTCTGGTAGGAGCGACCCTGGGGTGGCAGCCTGGCCTGGACTTGGGCGTGTGCTGGAGGTAAACACCTGAGCATCAGGTGGGGGTGGGGGTGAGGGGGTCACCTTAGGCTTGGGGAAGGCGGGAAGGAAGCCACCTGGGCCTCGGGGGAGGGGCGCGGGCTGATGGAGACCCGATTTGCTCTGGGCGGGAGCCCTGACTCTTCCCTTGGAGCGGGGACCACTGCTTTTCCAGACCCCCAGGATCAGCTCAGTCTTCCCTGGGGACCCTCGGAGCATCCTCAAACCACGGATTGGCCCATTCCATACAGCACGGGACCTGAGACAGTGGGCGGAGCCACACTTCCAGGGGCCATTGAGCGGACATTCCTGCGGCTCCTCACCAGGGACCCCTGCTGTGGCAGGACTGTCCCTGTCCCTTGGTCCCATGTCCCTCTGCCCGTCGCCCTGGGTTGATCAGCCTAGCCGGGGCTGAGATGGGCGTCGGTGGCAGCCTAGCTGCATCTTGGGGCTCCTTCCTTTCCCCCTGGGTGCTGAGGCCACGAGTGACACAGACCACACTTGCGGGGCGCCAGCTGAACAGGACGCAACGCAGGAGGGAACTGTTTTGAAATGGTTGGCTTCAGAAGACCATGCTAATCCTCTTGAGAAAACACAGAATTGCTCCGCACTTCCTCCTTCCTCCTTGAGGGCTCCATTCTGATTTGTTTTGCCGGCGATGGCAAGGGACGAGGGGGTCCGCCCGAATCCTCTCTACATTTCGGGAGGTGGCAATCCTGCCACATTTCCCTGTGACCCTGAACTTGGACCACCTGTGGCTTGGTGTCACCTCCCAGGCAGGAAGTAGGTGGCCACGGGCCTGACCAATGCCTCGGCCACCTCCTCCCCTCCCATTCCTGGGGGCGCCCACTGCGGGCAGGGACTTGGAGAAGGCTGGGTCAATGAGCTGGGCTTGGTGTCTGCTGTGGTCAGATCTGCGTCCGACAGCTCTGCCACCTGTGCTTTCCCTGGCAGGGCGGGAAGGGAGCTCTGGGCCCTTCCTGGACACAGTGGGGTCCTGTACGGAGGTCTTGGGGCGCTAAGATGCTCCCCAACCTCACTGAGTGCTTACCCAGGCCAGTGTCTCCCGCACTTGATGGTGACTTCATTAGCCTGAGTTAGTTCCACAGAGCCACTCGTGCCTGGCTGGTTCCTGTCACGTGGGGTGAACCAGGGTGCAGAGTGCATGGTCACTCAGGCTGGGCATGTGGGCCGCCCCTGGGTGCAGTGGGCACAGAGCATCTCCCCCGAGGACCCGTCCCTGCTGCTTGGGGCTGTTCAGGCCAGGCAGGCATCCTTGGGTTGTTTCTTTCTGCTGTCCCTGGGAGGTTTGTAGCACCCCACTGCCACCTCACCAAGCCCATCACGTGGCCTGGGGGAGGTGCTGAGACAGATGCTGGTCGCCCAAGAGCCAGCTTCTCGGGCAGTCAGGCCCCGCAGCTCCGGAGCCCAGGACTGTCCTCACAGAGCCAGCGGGTTCTGCACGCAGCCCCTGCTCTGCTCAATGCCCAACGCGCTGGGCCAAGGTGGATTGGCGGGCCAGGTCCTGGTTTATGCCACCGAAACCCAACTTCTCCCTCCCGACCCGGCCAGCTCCCCGTCTTGGCTCCTGAGGTGACAGGCACTAGCTGGTCCCCGCGGGTGGAGCTGGAGGCCAAGGCAAGGATGGATACCGCCAGGTACCTGCAGTACCCTGGGTGGAGAGGCATGACCTTCTCCGCACCCTTCACTGCCCTCTGCTCTGAGGGCCTGAAAAAGGGGCTCCCAGCCTCGCAGAGGAAGGGGTGGAAGGATGCAGCCCTGCAGATTAGCTCTGCTCCCCAGGGACCAGGTGGAGGCTGGACGTTTACTGGGTTTCCGTCTGCATCTCGATTGCTCCTTCCGGAAGTGCTGAGCCGTTCGTCGTCTGCTGCAGGTTCCTAGGAGGGTTGCCAAGGGCTGCCTCCCCAGGGAGGCAGGGAGGAGCTGCTGCCCCAGGGCCCTGCAGCAGAGGACAGGTCCCAGCTGCTTGGGCCGTGTGCCTCTCCCTCCAGGGGTCTGGGTGCCGAGGCAGAATTTCCTTCCTGCACGACCATCTCGAACGCCGGCACTTGGGCTTGGAAGGGATGAAGAAACCTTAGCCTCTGCACACTGGAGTTTGGGCGATGCTTTCTGCTCCCCACGTGACTTCTCAGGCCTCCCCAGAGAGGCAGGGGGACTGGTGTGGCTGGAACTGGTTTCTCTAACCCGAGAGACTGGGAGCCCCAGGGAGGGGAGAAAAGGGGAGGGTCTCCGTTAAGCCTCCACCGTGTGCACAGCACTACGCTGGCCTTGGCCTGGGTTCTGTTCTCACAGCACATCTGACCCACGCATTCATGCCCTGTCTCCAAGCCCCTGAACAGATTCCATGCGCTCTTGACAGCCCTAAGCACCTACGCCTCGCAGAGCCTGTGTTTGACCCTGGCCCTGGGATACGAGAAGTCACATTCGGAAGTGCCAGTGCTGCCCACTCAGGCCCGCAGGCTGGGGAAGTCCAGTTCCTCTCTGGCCTGCTAGACTTGGAGATGTCCATGCAGCCCCTCTCTGCCTGCTTCCTGCGTGAGGCGTTTCTGACTACCCTGAGGTGCAGGGAGGGGTCCTGATGCAGGGTGGTCCTGAGAAGGACCTGAGTGAGCGCTTCAGGACCAGGATGGGGCCAGGGAGCGACAGACCCCATCAACCAGAGTCTAGGGGGGCTCACACAGAGAGCCCAGAGCCAAGCTGAATACTGGAAGCTTTTGGGGGGTCCTTCCCAGCTGAGCCTCCAACCCAGCTTCTCTCCTAAAGACCCCTGGCTTGATTCCCTCTGAGCTTAAGTGTGGGCCTCAGGCGAGGGGGTTTTCCAGCATATGCCGAGGTCCCATCCCCAGTCTTGTTTTTTTTTTTATTGTTGTTGTTTTTAAACTTTATTTTTTTAATTTATTTTTTAATTATTATTATTATTGTTATTTTTTTTTTGCTTTTTGGGTCAGACCCGGCGATGCTCAGGGGTTACTCCTGGCTTTGCACTCAGGAATCACTCCTGGAGGTGCTCGGGGGACCATATGGGATGCTGGGAATCGAACCCCGGTTGGCCGCGTGCAAGGCAAATGCCCTACCCGCCGTGCTATTGCTCCAGCCCCACAGTCTTGTGTTTTTGGGCCACACCTAGTGATGCTTTGGAGTTGCTTCTGCCTCTGCACTCAGGAATTATTCCTGGCAGTGCTCATGGGACCATCCGGGATGCCTGGTCAACCGTATGCAAATCTAGTGCCCTACCCACTGACTCTCTCTCCACCCAAACCCTCCCTTCACTTCTCCTTCCTGGTTTTGGCCTGGGCCCTACGGGTTCCTCTCTGGCCAGTGCCAACCCAGGTGCCCTCCAGTGCTTTCTGTTAGCCTGTTTCTGCCCCTGCTTTATTCTGAGCTCCGAAGGTACTTGTCCTTTTACTGGTGTATGTAGGAGAGGGTGTATTTGGGGGATCACACCCAATGGTACTGACTCTGGGATGGTTCCTGGCAGAGCTCTGGGTACTGGGGGTTCGCACTAGGTCAGCTGCATGCAAGGCAAGCGCCCTCACTGCTATACCATCTTCCCACCCTTGTCCTCCAACCCCACGCCCTCGTTCACAGAAGCAAAAAGATCTGTCACTGTCACTGTCCTCCCGTTGTTCATCGATTTTTCTCGAGCGGGCCCAGTAACGTCTCCATTTTGAGACTTTGTTGTTACTGTGTTTGGGCATATCGAGTACGTCACGGGGAGCTTGCCAGGCTTTGCCGTGCAAACGAGATACTCAGGCAAAAAGATAAAGAAAAAAAAATAGATGCATTTGATATTTGGTGATGTTTTTGGTTTTGGTTTCTGGCCCACATTTGGTGGTGCTCAGAGGCTATTCTTGGCGTGGTACTCCTGCTTTGGTGCTCAGGTATCCCTCCCAGAAGTGCTCAGGGAACTCTAAGGTGCTGGGGGATAGAACTCAGGCATCCAGTTTGAAAAACATGCGCTCAGCCACCTCCCTCCTGATTCCCCCGGGGGTCAAGCAGTGCCCCCACCGCCCCCCACCTCTGCACCTGCTCTGGCTGCGTTATCACTGGCCTGTGGGGGCAAGATTGGGCTTTGCCACGGGCCCCGCTGCAGTGTGGCTGTACTCCCTTCGCCAGGTACCTGCTGGAACAGGACTTTCCAGGCATGCGGATCGGGCCAGAGCCCACCACCGACTCCTTCATCGCGGTCATGCAGGGAGACGTGGAGGGCATCGTCCCCGGCAATGCCCTGGTCGTGGACCCTAAGAAGCCCTTCCGGAAGCTCAACGCCTTCGGCAATGCCTTTCTGAACAGGTGAGTGTGGGGTGGGCCCACTGGGCCTGGCCGGGGTCTGCGCCACACACGCAAGCCAGCGGTGTGTTGTCCCTTCTGGCCGGAAGTTGGAATCGGTCAGCTCTGATGAGGGAGACGTGAGCCGTCGGTGGTGGGCTGATGACCAGTCACACAGTAGAGTCATGCCCCCTAATCTGCCCCCTTCCCTAGCGGCAGGGATGCTCCTAGTTCCTCTGCCTTGGTTTGGATTCGGCAGGTTGCTTTATTGGGGAGGGGCGAGGGGAGGAGGGGTCGGGAAGTCCAGGGTTTAGGCACTGAGGCCCCAAAGGCCACCTCTGACTTTCCTGACAATTGACATGCGACCTTGGACAGGTCACTTCTCCTGTCTGGCCTAAAGGACCGCAGGTCACCTTGATGATTTGAGTGGAGCTCGAGAGGACAGGAAATAATAGAGACCAAGAGCAGCTACCAAGCAAGTGTGAGGCCCTGGGTTTGATGTCCAGTGCCACACACAAACGCTCTTTTTTTTTTAAATTAAAAAAGAGCGAAATTCAGTCAGGTTGGCAGATAGATATGGGCCTGCCCACGGCTCCTCTGTTGAATGCAGGTGCAGGCCAGCCTCATCGCGCCCGTGCATGAATGGTCCTGAGATTCAGCTTCTCTTCTTCCTTTCAGAGGAGGTCTTTTGCATGAAGGTTAAATACCCAGAGGAATGAAGGTTAAATAATAAAGGTTTATTAATAGTAAGGGTTTATTAAAAAAAAGGTTTATTAATAAAGGTGAATAAAGTAATAAAGTTAAATAAAACTTAAAGACTCAGAGTAATAAAGGTTAAATACTTGACATGTGTGTTGAAATCCTACTGGGCAGCTGCGTGGATGTTTGTGCCTCACTTTCCCTTTCTGTGAAATGGGTGGATAGCAATACTTACATCCAGTGCACTGAGGGGAAGGAGGAGCTTATGAGTAGCAGACTTAAGTGCCTGGTCCTAGTTTCCATTAAGGAGTGTGACTTTGTGGGTTATGAGTCTGCATGTTTCATTTGGTTCCTGCAGTCCTCCGTGGGGGTCAAGGCACTGTGGCCTGGGATGATGGGGCAAAGAACAGGGATGGGAAAGACCAAGTGAACCACACGTGGAGTGGCCTGTGGGCAGGGAGTCCCCAAAGCCGCCGTGCCCGGGGATCTCAGGAAATGGGCCTGGAGAGAGGGAGGCCTCGGGAAATGGGAGCAAACAAGAGAACCCAAGATTAACTGCAGGTGGTGAGGAGGCTGTCTTGCATCCTCGAGGTGGTGGTGCCTCAGCAGAGGCCTGAAGATGCGGGAGGGACTGGGGTCAAGGAGCAGTCTGGGGCCCGGAGGCAGAGGGAAGGCGTGGACGGGGAGAGAACATGGAGACAGTGAGTCAGCAGCGGAGAAACAGACATCAGGGGCCAGGGAGAATTGCAGGGGATGAATTTGATGTTGGACACAAGTGTTCGAGGGAACTGTGTCAGCTCAGGAGCGTTCACCCACCTGGGGGGGAGGTCTCGATGAGGACCTTCCTGGTGAAGGGAGGAGAATCCCAGGGGTCACTGGAAGAACCAAAGCAGGGCCAGGCCCTCTTAAAGTCACCGTGTCGAGGCGATAATAATAGCATGCAGGGTGTCCTTCCTGTCACTGCAGATAGCCAGGAGAGAGGTGACGTACTCACCGCGGCTGCCAGGTGCCGTTCCTGGGCCAGTAAACCCAGCCGCACTCGCCAACTCTCTTTTCAAGTCTCTCAAAGGCTGGAGGTGTGTGTGAGGCTTGGGCGGGGGGGGGGGGGGCAGGGGGGCGGGGGGGGGGGGTCTGGTCTGTGCCAGGTCAAAACCCTTCTCTTTCCCATCCGATCATCTTCCTCTCCCCTGATGACCGACAGCCCTTCCGTGCTCTGCTTTATCTGCAGATACCATGGAAAGACAGTCCCAGGCTGAGCGCGTGGCCCCTGCCCTTGGTTCCCAGGACATAGTTCATTCGGGTGGGGACAGGGTCACTGAGGTGCACAGGGAAGGCACCCCCCTCCAGCCCCTGACGTGGCTGAGGCTGTGGGAGTGGGGCTTAGGGAACATCGAGTTGTGGCAGTGTCTGGAAGAGAAGGACAGTCCTGCAGAGGTGACCCTGCCTGGCCTGCACCAGGTTGTCCAGAAGACCTGGTGCTTCGTAGCCTGTCTCCGGCTCTGGCTGTGTCAGTGTTTCACCGGATCCCTCCCAGCCTTTCTGGGACAAAATTCGCCTTCCTTTTAAGCAGACAGCTGCCCTACTGGCCTGGGCTCTGGGCAGTGGATGCCAGCCTTGGCAGCGGGCATTGGTCCAGGCTGCTGCCCCTGCCTGGAGCAGGTCTGTAGGGCGAAACCTTTCTTCCTCTAGGGGGGTCAGATCTTGTCTCAGAACCAGCTCCAGCCTCTCTGACCAGTTCACACCCCCAGCCACTCACCCTTCCTCTTATTTTCACAGTCGGCACAAATCTGCACCTCAAACCTCACCTGAACCCCTACTCCCACATAACACCTAACCCGTGACCCTGTCAAATATTAGGAGCCATATCTGTATTTCAAAGCTAGGTGCAGGGCCACCTCCTCCAGGAAGCCAGGCCTGGGTGCAATTCTTCACTCGGGTCTCCTGAGCCCTTTACCTGACCTCCCCGGACTGGTGGTCCCAACTGGGATCAAGTCAGGATACCTCGGTGGCCCCACCGTGGGGGGCACACGAGCATGGGAACTGGGACCCCCCAGTGGATTCTCCTCCAAGTGAGGACTCCATGTGCTGTGAGTGCTGGATCCCAGCTGCCTTCTCGCCCGCCAGATTCGTGTGCGCGCAGCTGCCCAACCCCGTGCTGGAGAGCATCAGTGTCATCGACACGCCAGGGATCCTCTCCGGGGAGAAGCAGCGCATCAGCCGAGGTAAGTGCCACGCGCGCTGGCTTCCAGCTCTGCCCTTCCTGGGGGCTTCTCTGGCTTTCCCAGCAGGACCTGCTCAGGAGTCGGCTGGTGTCACAGTCGGCTTCCCTGCCGAATGGAGCCCAGGGCAGACTCTCTTCACCCGTCCCCCAGGGACGCCTGTCCTGGGCTGGACCCTGGGTGCTCCCAAGGCCACTGAGGCCCTGTCCAGCATGTGGAGAGCTGCCCTCTCCACACTGGCCTGGAAGGACGGTGGCCCACAGGGACGAGCTCTCAGCCCACCTCTGCCGCCTCTTAGGGGAGGGACCTGGGGCAGGTTCAGATAGACGTGGGGAGGTCGTTGTCCCTGCCTTCGGCGTTGTTTGAGGAGGAAGAGAGTCAGTGGGGAAGTTCTCACTGGGAGGCGCGGAGCAACGTCACCGTCCCCGCCCAGGCTCACCGGCTCAAAGGCCTGGATGAACGCGCCATAGAGCGGTTGACAAGCCACTGCTCCTGGCGCTTTTGCCCCCGTCTCTCCTGCCCCTGCCCCTGCCCTCCCTGCCAGGATGACCCACAGCGCCAAGGCTGGAGCCGCAGTGCCGGCGCTGGGGCCTAGCCAAGTCCGCACTCACAGTCCAGCCTCTGGGAGGGCACCTTGGCAAGGGTGACTTGGGCAGTGCCCAGAACTTGCCACCAACCACCCAGGTGGCCAGCTGCTCCTTACCCCGACAGACATCCAGGCCCCTGTGGTCTGTGTTGGCGGGTGACAGGAGCCACTCCCCGCTCTCCTAACTAGTCCCTCTCTTCTGAACTGTCCTCTCTCCTAACTAGTCCCTTCTAACTCCTAACTAGTCTCTTCTAACCAGTCCCCTCTCTCCTAACTAGTCCCTCTTTTCTAAACTACCCTCTCTATCCTAACTAGTCCCTTCTAACCATCTCCCTCTCTCCTGACTAGTCCCTGCCTTCTAACAGTTGTATCTCTCCTAACTAGTCCCTCTTTTCTAACCAGTCCCCTCTCTCCTAACTAGTCCCTCTCTGTAAACTCTCCTCTCTTCTAACTAGTCCCTTCTAACTCCTAACTAGTCCCTTCTAACTATCTCTTTCCTGACTAGTCCCTCTCTTCTAACCATTTCCCTCTCTCCTAATTAGTCCCTCTCTTTTAACCAATTCCCTCCCTCCTAACTAGTCCCGCTCTTCTAAACTACTAAACTATTCTCTCTCCTAACTAGTCCCTTCTAACTCTTAACTAGTCTCTTCTAACCAGTCCCTCTCTCCTAACTAGTCCCTCTCTTCTAAACTGCCCTCTCTATTCTAACTAGTCCCTTCTAACCATTTCCCTCTCTCCTGACTAGTCCCTGCCTTCTAACCAGTTGCATCTCTCCTAACTAGTCCCCTCTCTTCTAAACTGTCCTCTCTCCTAACTAGTCTCTTCTCACTCCTAACTAGTCCCTTCTAACCAGTCCCCTCTCTCCTAACTAGCCCCTCTTTTCTAAACTGTCCTCTTAACTAGTCCTTTCTACCCATTTCCATCTCTCCTGTCTAGTTCCTGCCTTCTAACCAGTTGCATCTCTCCTAACTAGTCCCTCTCTCTAACCTGTCCTCTTCTCTCTAGCCCCTTCTAACCAGTCCCCCTCTGTCCTCACTGGTGCTTCTCTCCTGTCCTCCCTCTCCCGCCCCCAGGACTTCAGTCCGGGCTGAGTCTCCAGTGTCCTGTGACCTCCAGCAGAGGCTGTGGAGCTCCTCAGTCTGCTCTCCCCAAAGCCAGTGCAGCTGGCGATGGTCTGGAAAGGGCTGCAGCTTCCGGGGGTTTCCAGGGCGATGTGCCACGGTGGAGGATGGGCCACATTTCTCCCCGAGTCTCAGTGTCCCCCCCCCATATGGCCAGGGGCTTCAGTGCCCATTTTATGCCTCATGGCCTTCGAGCCGGAAGCCCTGTTATGCTGAGTCAGAGCCAGCGAGTGCCCTCCAGCTGGCCGCCCACTGGAGCCCCCGGAACCTTTGTGATCGGGCATCCTTGCACTTTTGCAGTGCTCACCCTGTGCATCAGCAGGGGGCAGACCCTTGGCCTGGCCTCCTGCCCTCTTCAGCGCTGCTTCCATTCCTCAGCCTTCTCCTCTGCTTTCTTTGAACAAGAAGGCTGCCTGAATTCCCTTCCCACCCTCGCCCCTTCCCTCCCAGCCCACACTGAGCCCCAGAACTCCCCAGCAATGGGAGAAGTGCCGCCGACCCTGGCCCCTTCATGCCTTCATGCTCTGCATCACGCAGCTGCAGACCGAAACGCCAGCTGCTGGAAAGACCACGTGTGTAGTCAGGGGCGGGAGCCGGGTCCCAGTGTGGAGTGGCTGTGCTCCAGGGCTGTGCTAAGCTCAGGGGAGGGGGTGGGGGGTGGGGGAAACACAGGTGTGTATTGGAGGGCATCAAAGCGTGCAGTGTCAGAGGCTGCCCGGACTCAGCTCCTCCCCGTCCTGCCTCGGAGGCATCTGCACAAGTGCCTGGTTTGTGATTCCTCCCTGCACACCTACTAGTTCACGGTTTGTGGTTCAGCCCTGCACGCATACCAGTGTGTGGTTTGTGCTTCACAACTGCAATGCATAGTGTGTGGTTTGTGCTTCGTCTGCCTCACACCCAGTACGCTCTCAGGGCTTCCTGCCTACATCACAGTCCACTGGTGCTTCTCCCTAACACAGCCGGCCCGGCAGGACAGGACCTTTCACCCGTTCCTGCTGCACTTCAGGGTGGACGGGGGCCCTGGGCTGAAGCCAGCGGACCCTGAAACCTGCTCACTGGGTCTTGTGCTATATCCAGAATCACAGGAGCCAGAGAGGTCACTGTGTGCAGATCGGCCCAGACCCATGGGGGATGGGAGGGGGGAACCCAGCTGTCACATTCTGGGCAGCAAACTGCTTCCCAGCGCAGGGGTCCGAGGAGGGAGCCGGCAAGTAAGCCCTGGGTCAGGGTGGAGCCCTCCTGCCAGGTGCAGGGCTGATGGGCCTCACCTGGGGTAACTGAGCTCAGGAGGTGGATGCCAGGAGCTTGCCGCAGGGTGGGCTCAGCTGCTGCTGGCGGACAGAGGGCAGGGGGGCGAGTCCTGGCAGGGACAGGATGCGTCTGGCTCATTACTGGGAAGGAGCACCGGAGTCCACAGCTCCGGAAAGGGAAACCAAGTCCTCTCGGGAGGATTCCCACCCAGCACCCCCGGGGTGCCTGCGGGGTGAGGAGCAGTTCACTGAGAGGGAAGGGCCCTACCTCCCGCCTGCCAGGGGCCTCAGCCCAACCTAAGGCCACTCAGGAGGAAACACGGCGACCGGCATCTCAAGGGCTCAGACCTAGGGGCCCTGGGGTGGTCCTGCACCCACGCTAGGTGCTCCAGACCAGCACTGCATCCATGTGGGAGTAAGGAGCATCCTCGGGACAAGTAACTGAGCCTCGGACATGAGGGTGGAGATTAGGCCACACCCTTGCCTGCTCGTAACAGGGCTGTGTGTGTGTGTGTGTGTGTGTGTGTGTGTGTGTGTGTGTGTGTGTATGAGAGAGAGAGAGAGCACGCACACACGTGTCTTGTCTGTCTCATTACTTCCTTCCTTCTGCCTGGTGTGGCTTAGAAATGTGTTCTTTTGGGGCTGGAGTGATAGCACAGCGGGTAGGGCATTTGCCTTGCACGCTCACTGACCCAAATTCGATTCCCAGCATCCCATATGGTCCCTTGAGCACTGCCAGGGGTAATTCCTGAGTGCAGAGCCAGGAGGAACCCCTGAGCATCACCAGGTATGACCCAAAAAGCAAAAAAAAAAAAAAAAAGAGAGAAATGTGTTCTTTCTAGTCTGCTGGCACCAGGGACAGGGGTGAGGTCGAATCTGGGGGCGCTGGAGGGCGCCCAGGTCCCTTCAGGTGTCCCTGAGAGCCCAGGGCTCATTGGAGGAAATTCCAGGAAAGGCAGTACCACCACTAATTCCTAGTTCCAGAATGTTCCACCCAGCCTTCCCCACCTTCTCCTCCTCCCTGATCCCTTAGCTCATCTGCGGAGCCCACGTGCGGGCCCACCTGCTCCACCCTGTTGAGGCTCTCAGAACCGTGCCCAGGACCAGCGAGGGCCCAGGGCCTGTCCCGGGGTGCTACTCCCCCAGTGAGGACTGACCTCCAGATGGTGTAGACCACCCCCGGCACGAGTTGGACCCCCTTGTGGAATCGGAAAATCAGTGTACAGCTGGGAGATGAGGTGCCCGCCTGCCTGGGGTCCCAGAGAATGAGTGGGGGAGGAGCACTCCATTCCTTTGGCCCCCGAGGGAACACGGGCACTGCCCCACTGCCCCCTGGAGCCCCATTCCCAGTAGCTGGCGGCGGGGAGGCAGGCCCCAGCAGGTGCTCTGACTCCTGCACCCACAGCCAAATGTGGAGCCGCTGGCCAAGGACCCCAGCACAAGCAGAAGTAGATGCTTGAGGAGCCGGAGATGTTGATGCTCATGGCACCTTGGAAAAGGGTCCCAAAGCCCAGGTGGGTGAAGCCCCAGGAGCTGGCCCTGTCTCGGGCCTTTTGTCCTGCCCGGTGTCTGCATCTGTACCCTTGCTGACCCCTCCCAGAGCACTGCGGACTGAACAGGGAAGCTCTGAACACTCCGCCACCCCCCCTGCTCTGACCTCTCTGGGCCAGGGGTGACCCCTCCAGGTGGGGCGACACCTCTCCCTAGAGTGTGGAGTGCCAGTGGCAACCCCCTCTCATTCCAACCCCACCGCGACCCTGCACGGGCTGCGGCTCTGAGCCCAGACCTCTGAGCTCACAGGTGTGCTTCCCTTGTGTGACAGGCTAGGCGGGCCACACTCGCCCTGGGAGCACTGACTTTGGCCTGTATGGTGAGGAGTCGGCACAGTCTCTGAATGAAAAGAGGGGTACACACAGCACCCAAAAGGAGAGAGAGAACAAAAGGGAATGCCCTGCCACAGAGGCAGGGTGGGATGGGGGGGATCGGGGGGTGGGAGGGATACTGGGATCCGTGGTGGTGGAGAATGGGCACTGGTGGAGGGATGGGTACCCGATCATTGTATAACTGAAACCCAAGCACAATTTTTTTTAATGTAGGTTCTAGCCTATGCATTTTATTTTATTTTATTTTATTTTTTTATTAGTGAAACACCATGAGATACAGTTGTAGACTTATAAGTTTTTGTGCTTGAGTTTCAGTTATACAATGATCGAGTACCCATCCCACCACCAGTGCCCATTCTCCACCCCTACCAATCCCAGTATCCCTCCCAACCCCCCACCCTCCATCCCCCATCCCACCTTGCCTCTGTGGCAGGGCACTCCCTTTTGTTCTCTCCTTTTGGGTGCCGTGGTTTGCAGAAGAGACATTGGGTGGCAATCATGTTCGGTCTATAGACTACTTTCAGCACGCATCTCCCGTCCTGGGTGGATCTTCCCAGCACCCTTTATTTAGTGCTCCCTTCTCCATCTGAGCTGCCTTTACCCCTAGAGTGCCAAGCACAAAAATTTGTAAGTCTACATCTGTACCTCATGGTGTTTCACTAATGAAAATTTAAAAAAAAAATGAAAAGGATTAGTCTAGGGAAACAGTTGGAGTTCCAGGAAGAACTTGAGGGGAAATAATTGCACAACATTTCTCAAATGTAAAGGGTAAATTCCCAGAGAGGGAGAAAGTTATCAATGCAGGGGGGAGGAGCAGCGGGAGCACGGTGGGCAGGAAGCAGAGAGAGGTGCACCCACCCTGGCCCCTTCACTGTCAGCTGCTTGTCCTCTCCAGGGGGCCTTAAACATGAGTCGCGTCCTAATGTGACCTGAGCCCCCAATAAGGGGGCCCAGCAGACCCTCCAGGGGACCTGACTGCAAGGCCTGGTCTGACTCCCCTACCTTAGCCTCAACCCCGCCCCCCCTTCCCCAACCTCGGGAACTGCTGCTTCTCCCTCGGACTGTGGGTGGCAAGGACATCCGGATCCCCAGGGAGTCGGTTACAGGACCAGAGTCCAGGAAGCTTCCTAGCTTGGAGCATAGGGGTGAGCACTGTGGGTGGGCCTCTGGGTGGATGTGAGAAATGCACGTTGGAGAGAGAAATGCACCCTGGAGAGCAGGTGCTGGGAAGGGACGTGGGTGGGCATGGGACGTGGGCACTGGGAAAGTGGGCAGGGGGAGGTCTAGGAGCCAGGCCTGGAGCCCGTATAACACTGGAAAGACCCAACACTCAATTCTCACCCCAGCGCTACTGATTGCGTGTACCTGAGTAAGTCGCGTTACCTCTCTGAGCCTTACTCCCACAGCTAGTAGTGAGCTCTCCGCAGGGAGGAGGATGATATGCAATTCCCTCCAAACTTTCCAGCCCAGCCCTCTTGGCAGGGGGGCTAAGTAGAGCCCAGATTCGATCTCACTTCCGGAGTCAGTCCCACCTGAAGCCACTCATGCCAGGAAACCAGACGAATGGTCGCGTTCTCCAGAAAAAAAAAAAAAAACAGTTTAGAGACGGGCTAGGGAGTTGCAGTTGACCACCTGCGCCCCAAAGAAAGAAGTGATCTCCAGACCACAGGTGTGAGAACAAGTCAGCTGCGATCAGAGGAATCTCAGCTCTCTTCCCTGACACGCTGTCCCTCTCTGAAAAACTCGCAGGAGCTCCCGTTTCGGGCCCTGTGAAGATTTTCTGGGTCTCTATTCCAGTGGGTTTCTTTCTTTTCCAGCAGAGCCCTGGCTGGGGGCGGCAGGGTGGAGGTGGGGGTAGTATGGTGGGGCACTCGGTGCAAATAGTGGTGTTAGTCAGAATCATGGCGTTTGCTGAGCAGTTATTACGGATTTTGATGTCCTGAGCTCCTCGGATTCTGCAGAACAGAAGCTATCATTATTCCCACTTAGAAATGCAAAACTGATTTAAAAAAAAAAAAACATCAAGTGGCTGGGGCTGGAGCAATAGCACAGCGGGGAGGGCGTTTGCTTTGCACGCGACCAACCCAGGTTCGATTCCCAGCATCCCATATGGTCCCCTGAGTATCGCCAGGAGTGATTCCTGAGTGCAGAGCCAGGAGTAACCCCTGTGCATTGCCGGGTGTGACCCAAAAAAAAACAAAAACAAACAAAAAGCATCAAGTGGCTTGCTGGAAGCTAAACTGTGGAAGCGAGGAGAGGGTGGGCTTGGAGCCCAGCGACTGCCCCGCCAAGGCCCAGCCCCCCGCCCTGACCATCCCTGTCCACAGGCTACGACTTCGCGGCCGTGCTGGAGTGGTTCGCCGAGCGGGTGGACCGCATCATCCTGCTGTTCGACGCCCACAAGCTGGACATCTCGGACGAGTTCTCCGAGGTCATCAAGGCGCTCAAGAACCACGAGGACAAGATGCGGGTGGTGCTGAACAAGGCGGACCAGATCGAGACGCAGCAGCTGATGCGGGTGTACGGCGCCCTCATGTGGTCGCTGGGCAAGATCGTCAACACCCCCGAGGTCATCCGCGTCTACATCGGCTCCTTCTGGTCCCACCCGCTGCTCATCCCCGACAACCGCAAGCTCTTCGAGGCCGAGGAGCAGGACCTGTTCAGGGATATCCAGAGCCTGCCCCGAAACGCTGCCCTGCGCAAGCTCAACGACCTCATCAAGAGGGCCAGGCTGGCCAAGGTGAGGCCACTCGGGGCTTGGAGCCCGTTGGGGTGTGTGGGGATGGGGGGCTGCCACCTGCCGGCACAATAATGTTCTGGAGCCTTGGGTCAGGGGGTCAGCTCTGCCAACTCCGGCAACTCTGGGATCTGGCTGGGCTGGCCGTTGTGGTCAGCAGGCCAGGCCACGGATGGCTGACGAAGGCCCACTTCACCCCAGACCCTCCCGGAAAGGCCCTGGGTCCCTGCCTTGGGTCAGGGGGTCAGCTCTGCCAACTCTGGCAACTCTAGGATCTGGCTGGGCTGGCCGTTGTGGTCAGCAGGCCAGGCCATGGATGGCTGACGAAGGCCCACTCCACCCCTGACCCTCCCAGCAAGGTCCTGGGTCCCACAGCTGGCCTTTGAGAGGGCTGGAGGCTGGGAGGAAGATTGTCAAATGCCTGCTTGGGGGGCCTGATGCCCCCATCCCAGGTGACCAGAACAGTAACCCCATCCTCACCCACACTGGCGTCCCATTGCTCTGCCGGTGCCCACAGCCTCTGGGCCCTGTGGGTGTCCCAGCGGGGGAGGGATGTTTTAGAAGTCAGACAGAAGATGGGGGTGCTGGGGGGAGGAGGAGGCAGGGAAGGAGGGAGGAAGGGAGGGCCTCGAGCTGAGGGTGCCCCCGCCCCTGTCCAGGTCCATGCCTATATCATCAGCTCTCTGAAGAAGGAGATGCCCTCGGTGTTTGGGAAGGACAACAAGAAGAAGGAGCTGGTGAACAACCTGGCTGACATCTATGGCCGCATCGAGCGGGAGCACCAGATCTCACCGGGGGACTTCCCCAACCTGAAGAGGATGCAGGTGGGCTAGCGGCTGCCTTGGGGTGCCCGGCAAGGAAACCCCACTTGATCCCGGGCCCATGGGCCAGCCTGGGTCAGTCGTTGTACTGGACAACCACGGGCCCCTGCCAATGAGCCAGGGAGAGCGGGTATAAATAGGAGTGCCCACGTTTTGGCCTGTCGCCCTTCCTGCACTCATGCCAGGACCCCCTGAAGGCATGTGGGGTCTCCCTTGGGCCTGACTTGGATCACCTTCTAATGTCTCCTTCTGTCATGGGGTGATCTGTGGCACACAGTGATAGGGGAACAACTGGAGGACCCCTTTGGAGCATCAGCACCTCACTTTCATCCGTCTCTCCTCAGTTGGTCCCTGGGCCTTTGTCTCTCTTCTTAGCTCTGCTAACTCATTTTACAGGGGGCCCTGGGCAAAAGTGGAGCCCATGTGCTCGCAGATGTGAGCAGCCTGCGAGAGGTGTGAGAGTTCCCTCGCTGTGCCCCATCACACTCGCTCCAGGAGGTCCAGAACTCTGCAGTGAGCTCTGGGCACTGTGGTCCCTGAGACACTCTCCGGGGTGCTGGCCTTGGGCCAGCTCCGTCCCTGTGGTGGTCAGAGCCAGGGCAGGATCCCTGCAGAGACTAAGCAGGAGAGGAGCGTTCAGGGTGCCAGATTGGGCACGGAGAGCCTGTTTGGGTGCTTGGGCAGGCCAGGATAGGGTGCTGTGACAGAGCCACATTCCTGGCCACATCTGTGGTGTCCCGAGGAGCAGTGTAGGAAAATGCCCCTCCTGAAGTCCGCGATCTCCCTGGCCAAAGGAACATGGATTTTGGGGGGGGGACACTGGCCTCTCCTGCTTGGGGTGAGTGACCTAGGCCTCCCATTCCCCTTCCCTGATTGGGGTCGGGTCGTGCCTTCCAAAGAGCCCTGGTGAGGGGGGACATCAGTCATGTCCACGGGTTCCCAGTGGAACTCAGAGGAGAGCAGAGACCCACAGGACATGCCTGGAAAGAACTGGACGTTCTGCAACCACACTCGGCAAGAGAAAGGGAGCAGTTTACTTTCAACGTGACAGGGAGCAGGACTAAGAGACTCATACCCTTGCGTGGGCGCAACCATCAGTGCCCACAACCGTCTCCCTGTCTCCCAGAAACACCCGCCTACGTTGCTAGGCATTGGAAATCAGCTCCATGGCCACACCCCGAGCTGGGAATATCCACAAGTTGCTAGAAAACGACTTTCCCTCTCCGACTCCCAGACCCCCCACCAAGTCCTCTCCTTCCCAGCTTCTCTGACCTCGCCTCCCTCTCTCACCCTCTTCCCAGGACCAGCTGCAGGCCCAGGACTTCAGCAAGTTCCAGCCCCTGAAGACCAAGCTGCTGGAGGTGGTGGACGACATGCTGGCCCACGACATCGCCCAGCTCATGGTGCTGGTGCGGCAGGAGGAGATGCAGCGGCCCGTGCAGATGGTGAAGGGCGGCGCCTTCGATGGAACCCTGCAAGGCCCCTTCGGGCACGGCTACGGGGAGGGGGCCGGCGAGGGCATCGACGACGCCGAGTGGGTGGTGGCCAGGGACAAGCCCATGTACGATGAGATCTTCTACACGCTGTCCCCGGTGGACGGCAAGATCACTGGCGCCAACGCCAAGAAGGAGATGGTGCGCTCCAAGCTGCCCAACAGCGTGCTGGGGAAGATCTGGAAGCTGGCCGACATTGACAAGGACGGCATGCTGGACGACGAGGAGTTTGCGCTGGCCAATCACCTCATCAAGGTCAAGCTAGAGGGCCACGAGCTGCCCAATGAGCTGCCCGCTCACCTCCTGCCCCCATCCAAGAGGAAAGTTGCCGACTGAGGGGTGATGGGGGCGCTGGAGTCCAGAGTGGCAGGAGCTGGGAGAAGCACACACACACACACCCACACACATACACACGCACACGCACATGTGCCCACACGTACACGCCTTTTCCAAACTGCCCTGCAAAGATGGGTCTCCAGAGGCCCTGATTACTCTCTGGAAGCTTCTACACATCCTCCATGCAGGGAGGGAGGGGGAATATAGGCGTCCCCCTGGAGCCCAGCCCTGCACCCTCTGCTTCCTCCCACCTCTTACTGCCAGAGACTGTTCACACCCTCCCAGGGCGCCCAGCTCTAGGTCCCCTGTGGGCTCCAAACCCACGCTCAGAGCAGATGGAAAAGGCATGTCACCTCTTAGGCAATTCCCTTTGTTTTCAGTGCTTGGCTCCCTAATGTGAAATTGAAATCGACTCCCCCGCTAGGAGAGGGCCAGGAGAGGGCCATGAGGGAGGCCAGGGTGAGGGCAGCCCTGGAGGGAGGAGAGAGGGGAGGGAAGCATCTTCCAGGGACCAGCTCCGGAGCTCTGTCCTGTTGAGCTGAGGCTCTGTTCTTCCAGGACGGCCTAGCTTTGAACTTGGTCTGCACTTCACATCCCAGGAAAAAAGAACAAGGGAAAAAAAAATGCCCTGAACCAAAGAGAACTGAGAAAAATCTTTCTGTGGGAGAGCAAGCAAATAATAGCCTGGTGTCTTCACACAGAGCCGGTCCAGGCGCTGATGGCCCGGCATCTGAGGGTCACGTTTCCCTTGGCCTGATGCCTGGATGAGCGTCCGTGATCCCACATGGCTCTGACCCCCCTCAGCTTTGCAGATGGAGAGCTGAGAGGCAGAGACGTTCAGGTGACCTCTCCACAGTCACCGAGGTCACCGTGATGGGGTGCGGATTCCATCGACCCCAGGGCCTCCCCCCAGCCGTGCCCTTGCGTGCCCAGCTCCAGCCTTGCTCCCCTGTGACACAAAAGCCCCGTCCAGCCTCACAGAGCTGGCTGCCGAGGTGGGATGGCCAGCCAGCGTGTGTGGGGCCAGCAGCGGGACCATCTGTCACATCACAGAAGCAAACCGTGCCTTCTGGCTCAGTGGCCTGTCCCCAAATCACAGAAGACAGCGCATCGTGGTGAGTGGGCCACTCTCCAGCCCCGCCCGCACTCCGCAGCCTGCCTCAGCCCAGCCACCTGCAGCCGCGACTCGGAGCGGGACTGACTCTCACAGGGCCGACTGGGGAGGGGTGAGCCCCTGCGGGTTCTCACCCGGCTGGGCCCTGTCCACCAGTGTCCGGCCGTGGCTTCTTGTCGTCCTGGCCCTGCCCCGGTGAGGAAGCCCACTGAGGTGTTTTATATGTGGCTGCAGACCACATAGCTGGTGTTCCATCTCCAGTGCCACCGTTATCCCCGCTGTCTGTCCAGAGCACTCTCTTAATATAGCACATTTAGCCTTTGGTGTCGTTTGGCCAGAACTTCACTTGGAGGTGGGGTGTCGGAGTGGGGTTGGGTCCTTCTCGTTGCTCCTGGTGGCCTCTGGCCTCAGACGGGGCTGCCCACGGCCACTTTTCCATTTGCAAATCGTATCCCTTGGGTCCGAGGCTCCTGCAGGCCAACCTAGGGGACCTGTACACTTTGTCTCCAAGCTTCTAGCCTTTTGCCTCAGCGCCAAGGGCAAATCAAGGTCAAGACAATGCATAGGAACCTGCTACACCTCCCCAGATGGCCAGTTTGGCAGAGAGACCTGCTTTGAGTTGCAGGAGGCAGAGGGAGGCAGCTGCCATCTGTGTACTTGAGAAGGGGGTGTCCAAGAGCCCCCTTTCTCCCCTCCACCCTCTGCAGGGCCACACGTTTCGCCTTCCTGCCTTCCTACCCTTCCCTGCATTCTGCTTCTTCAGACTGTACCCCAGACACATCTGGAGCGCCAGGGGTTTCTGTTCAGTCTCCTTCCCATCTTCCCAGATGGATAAAATGATGCTTTCAGAGCTCAGTGGAGAAGGGGGTGGTTGAAGGGCACTTTCTCTGGCTCTAATCTTAGCCTGCTGTCCCCTTTGGACTCTGGGGGCCTGCGAAGACTTCATGCCTCAGCCTGGGAAACATCCTATGGCAAGTAGTCATATCAGGGGCCAGCTCCAGAAAAGGCTCCCTGGAGACCCAGCTGGCCTGGCCTACATCCTTCATCCCTCGTCGCTGTCATGGCAACTGTCAGCTAGGAAGAACAGCCCTAGCCCACCGCCCCCAGAGCATTCCTGGTGCTCAGGCGCTGCTTTGGGATGCCATCTGTCTTGTGCAAGGGATGCTGTGACTATGCCCAGGTGTGGGCGTGGTCTTGGGAGGCATGAGGCAGCACAAGTCATCCTCACACCTGTGTGTCTGTCCTGTTCCAACAGCCTATAATTCTGTTGGCTAGTCAGAGTGAGCAAGGCCATCTGGGAGAAGAGGCTCATTTATTTTTCTAATGATATGTTAACTGGCCCCAAATACATCGATATTTTTATTCTTGAGTTTATTGCTCAATGTGCCCACCCATCTACTCACCCATCCATCTCTCAACACATCCAATTTGCTCATTCACCCATTTGTTTATCTTTCCACCCACCTACCCCTCTACCTTCCATCCATCCATCCATCCATCCATCCATCCATCCATCTATCCATCCACACAGCCTTCTGTCCATCTACCAATTCATTTATCCTTCCATCCACCTACCTATTTGCCTCTCTAATCCATTTACCCTTCCACACATCCATTTGCCCATCCAGCTACTCATCTATTCATCCTCCTACCTGCCTACCCCTCTGCCCAGCCAACCAACCATTCAACCACACATTCATTCATCTATCCATCCAGCCACCTCAAGTCTGTCTATCCATCTTTTCAGAAGATATCCAATACCTCCTATGGAAAAGACACTGAGGTGATGATAGAATTTCACTCATTGGTCCACTCAGAACCTGTCAACCCATAAATTGATTATTTTTTCATAAGTGTATGTTAGTAGTGCTAAAACTTCTTTGCGTATTTTCCAAAGTTATGCAAACAGGTATTCTGGACAACTAGAGTCAGATTTCTCACTGTCCATGGAAAGACTTAAGGAGAATTAAAGACTAGAAAGAAAGTTGAGTCCTTAGTCAGAAACCACCTAGAACACATCTGTCATTGGTACATCACATTATTGTTCATTGATGTGAATGACAATATAAGAAAGAATATAGGGTATTCTCAGAAAATGCCTTTATTCATGTTGGATATTCTGAGATTGTTTATGTTCAACCGTGTGATTTATCAGTGAGTGTTCGACCATCTTCAGTAGCTTAGAACTGGAGGAATCACCATGAATTCATGATGTGAATCAACATACACTTCTTAGCTCTGTCACTGGCAAAATCCAGAAACAATGGCACACCAGTAAGAATAAGTGCCTACTAACCACATCTTGGAGAAAATACTTTTCTCCATACAAAGAAACAAGAAGTTCTTGGAAAAATTTAAGACTTTGTGATTAGAGTAGAGGAGACTATGATCTTGTGATTCAAAAAGAGTAAGGAGGTATACAGAAAATTTAGCAGACAACAAATAAAGCCAAGGGATAGTGCAGCACATACGGCATTAAAAAAATAAATAAATAAAACGTATTACCTCACATTGGGCTGGAACGATAGCACAGTGGGTAGGGCGTTTGCCTTGCATAAAGCCAACATGGCCGACCCGAGTTCAATTCCTCTGCCCCTCTCGGAGAGCCTGGCAAGCTACCAAGAGTATCTCACACACACGGCAAAGCCTGGAAAGCTACTCGTGACGTATTCAATATGCCAAACACAGTAACAAGTGTCACAATAGAGACGTTACTGGGACCACTCGAGCAAATCGATGAACAACGGGAGGACAGTGACAGTGACCTCACATCATCTGTGCAGTCACAACTGTTCTACATAGTTCCAATCAATTCCTGCCATTCAAGGGCCTCACCATCAGGAAGGCAGGCTTCTAGAGAAACTCTGTAAGTTATTGAGAAACCTTCCAGTGACAGGCACAGGCCACTGGGATGCTGGCGATGTAGGGACTCTGCAAAATCAGAGGGATCTTCCCAAAAGGGAGAAGGTTGTCATAGAAAGCCTGTTGTGGGTGTGAACCTTTGAGTGAATCTGACACCCTTGGAGTCTGTGGGCCTTCTGTCCCGAACGCAAGGAGGCTAGGATTTTCCTACAAATAAACACAAGGCATTCCTCACCCAGAAGTCACAACAGTCCAAGTGCCTTGGATGTGTCTGAGGAAAGGCATGATCAGAATTCTGCCTTTCAGACTGCTGAGCTCTCACATGTCCTGGAAAGGGCCTGTGAAATGTAAAAATGTTATCAGCATCTAAAGTTGAAACGTTCAGTGCCTGGAGGAAAGGGAAATGGTGAGGGAGGTATAAGATAGCCCGACTGAGGCAGCTGAGGGAGAACATCCATGCTGTGCACACGCTTTGTGTCCCTGTCCTTCTGGCCCGGACAGGGCTGGGTGGCGGTGGTGAGTTTGACCTTGGTGGCCCACTGAACTGGCAGTGCGGTGCGGCTGACTTCACCTTGTAGCCCCATCCCCACCCCCAAGCCACCATGCATGTTGCTAGAGCTGATTCCCCACCTCTTCTAGCTGCCACAGAGGAGACAAAATGAATGGGGAGACTGGCTCATCTCAAGTCCCTGGAACATTCTGGAATCCTTTACCAGTGGTACAAACAGAACATAAACATATCGTCTTGATTTTTAAGTCACTGATTGCTGTGCTCATTACTCACACAATCCTAGGTGCTTTCAGAAAAGAGAGAATCTTGTCTCCAGCCCTCTAGGTTCTTTCCAGATCCATCAAGCAATCAGTAGACAGATTAGAAGTCAGCTAGGTTTGATAGGTATGTACGGAAATGCCACTAAGGAAGGAGGCCTCTCCTTCCACAAGAAGAGGACCCTTCCATGAGGACAAAAGACAGATCGAAGTCCAAGCTAAGGGAAGATCTAGAGAGTCATCGGCCACCAGAGCAGAGACTCTCCCGACAAAGATCAGCTGCTCTGTATTAGATGTTTTGCCTGCCTTAAAGTACTCTTTCTCTCATGGAAAGGTTACTTCTCAGGGCAAAATTTGATTCTAGATAACACCCTACTTTTCATTCCTGTTAGCGGTTCTGAGAGTACTCAAGTTTCTCATGAGGCCTTGTGAGAAATCAACTTGAAATAACTCATAAGCCAAAGGGACACTGAGGGGTGTGTGTGTGTGTGTGTGTGTGTGTGTGTGTGTGTGTGTGTGTGTGTGTGTCTGTGTCTGTGTCTGTGTCTGTGTCTGTGTGTCTGTGTGTGTCTGTGTGTTGCAATATTCTGAGCAGACCTATCTGAATTTGTTGGTGAAGAAACTGCTACTCAAATCTCAGGGAAGTCATTCCTTTGCTCTTAGGCCCAAAATACCAATAAGTTCTCCTGATTGGTCAATAATCAAGGCATAGGAGAATGAGAGGCCAAGAGTGTGCTCTTCGAGGCACCTGGGTCCCTGGGCACTGTGGACCAGTCATTAGCTACTGACTCATAGTCCCAGACTCAACTGTTCCTTACCCCTTGCTGAAAGACACCTCACATAAAATCTACCTTCTCCACCATTGTCAAGTGCACTGTTGAGGGGTATAATCTCTTTGGAAGCTGGAAAATACTGCACTGATAGAACTTGTCTCTGTGCACAAACACAGATGCTGGAATAGAGACCAAGAAGAACAGAGACCGGAAAGAGGAAAAACAACACTTCCCAGATGCCTCTGCAGCCAGATTCAGGTTGCAGTGATCAGCCAAAAACTACTGTACCTAATACACTAATAACTAGTTGGCAATAGCTAACAAACCTAATAGATTCATGGAGCCTAGACCCACGTGGATGGAGCCAGAGCAGAGCCATGGCAGTTTCTTGGCTGCTGGAGAAGTGTCATCAGAGATGGCGGGGGAGCCATATCTTACTTCAGGGCCAACCTAGTGGATAAACACATGGCACCTGCATGTGCCAACAAAAGCTTAGGGCCCAGGCATGCTGAAGTGGACAGCATAGACAGAGTGTATCGTGTATGTGTGTGTGTGTGTGTGTGTGTGTGTGTGTGTGTGTGGTGTGTGTGTGTGTGTGTGTGTGTTCCTGTGTGTGTGCCCTGGTCTGTGTGGGTTGGAAAACACACTCACAGGTTCTGGAAGAGGAGAGTCCAAGAAAGGATCTTCCAGAGAGTTATTTTCAAAGTGAAATCCCTTTCTAAGAATCCCAGGGCATGACTTAAGAGTCCCAGACACATGAGGCCAAACAACAAGGAAATGTTAGAAAAGGGAGTTGCCACCTAGATGTCACTGAATTGGTAGGATAGTCCCCATCCACCCAGATGTCATTGAAAGCATTTATATCCAAGGACACAGGCACCCCACATAGCAGACACTGAACATGCAAAAACCTGGGCTC